ACTCAGCTAATGGCAAGAAATCTTCCCAACTACCACGGAAATCAATCACACAGCCCCGTAACATATCCTCCAACACCTGAATCACTCGCTCAGACTGTCCATCAGTTTAAGGATGAAAAGCTGTACTGAAATTCAAACGAGTACCCAGAGCCTCGTGCAAAGCTTTCCAGAACCTGGAAGTGAATCTCGGATCTCGATCAGATATGATAGACAACGGAACACCATGAAGTCTAACGATCTCAGAAATATACAACTTAGCCAGTTTATCCAGAGAATAATTAACCCGAATAGGGATAAAGTGCGCTGACTTGGTGAGTCGATCAACAATCACCCAGATAGAATCCTTTTTGGAAGGAGTTAGAGGAAGACCAGTAACGAAGTCCATCGTAATACGCTCCCATTTCCACTCAGGAATCTTAATTGACTGTAATAATCCAGATGGATGTTGGTGCTCTGCCTTAACCTGCTGACAAGTCAAACACCTCGCCACAAAATCTGAAATATTTTTCTTCATACCAGTCCAAAAGTAGCGTTCTTTGAGATTATTGTACATTTTGTCCCCGCCAGGATGCATGGCATAAGGACTACTATGAGCTTCCTGAAGAATAACCCGTCTCAACTCATCATCTTTAGGGACGCAGTAACGACCGTGAAAACACAAAATACCATCCTGATCCACAGTATACTCCGAACTCGATCCTTGCTTAACTTGTTCAATAATGGAAAGCAACGAGTTATCAAGGAGTTGTTTAGCCTTAATCTCCTCGGCCAAAGTAGGTTTAACCTGTAACTCTGCTAACAAACTATTATCATCAAATAAGCTCAAGTTGGCAAATAAGGCTCTGAGATCTGATATCGCCTTACGGCTCAAGGCGTCTGCCACTACATTAGCCTTCCCTGGATGATATTCTATCTCAAAATCATAGTCCTTTAAAAGCTCCAACCAGCGACGCTGTCTCAAATTTAATTCTTTCTGAGTAAGTAGATACTTCAGACTCTTATGATCAGTATAGATATAACACTTTTCTCCGTAGAGGTAGTGTCTCCAGATCTTTAAAGCAAAAACCACAGCAGCTAATTCCAGATCGTGAGTAGGATAGTTACGCTCATGCGGCCTTAACTGACGTGACGCATAAGCGACAACTTTCCTATCTTGCATCAAAACACATCCTAATCCAGAATGAGAAGCATCACTGTAGACAGAAAAATCCTTCCCAGATTCAGGCTGAATCAACACTGGGGCTTGAGTTAGAACAGTCTTCAATTTCTCAAAGCTAGCTTGTTGGTCCTCAGACCAGACAAATGGAACATCTTTCCTTAATAGTTTCGTCAGAGGAGCTGCAATAAGGGAGAACCCCTCAACGAAACGACGATAGTAACCAGCTAAGCCCAAGAAACTACGGATCTCAGAGACGTTTCTAGGTTGCTTCCAGTTCAGAATAGCCTCCACTTTGCTTGGATCCACCTGAATGCCATCAGCGGAGACGATATGTCCAAGAAAAGTCACTTCGCTGAGCCAGAACTCACACTTGCTCAACTTAGCGTATAGCTTATTCTCCCTTAGAGTCTGAAGAACAATTCTTAAATGCTCCTCATGTTCTACTTCACTTCTAGAATACACCAGTATATCATCAATGAATACAACTACAAACCGGTCCAAATAAGGTCGAAACACTCTATGCATCAGATCCATAAAAGCAGCAGGGGCATTAGTTAACCCGAATGACATCACTAAAAACTCATAGTGCCCATATCGAGTACGGAAAGCAGTTTTCGGAATATCCGAATCTTTCACTTTGAGTTGATAATAACCAGATCGTAAGTCTATCTTTGAAAAGATAGAAGCCCCTCGAAATTGGTCAAATAGATCGTCGATTCTGGGCAGAGGATATTTGTTTTTCACCGTGAGCTTGTTCAGTTTCCTATAATCGATACAGAGTCTCAACGTCCCATCTTTCTTCTTGACAAAGAGAACTGGGGCTCCCCACGGTGATACACTAGGTCGAATAAATCCCCTGTCCAACAACTCCTGAAGTTGAACTTTCAGTTCCTTAAGCTCCTTTGGGGCCATACGATAAGGAGCCATTGAAATCGGGGTGGAACCAGAATAGACTTCAATCACAAACTCGACTTCTCTATCAGGAGGTAATCCAGGCAACTCCTCGGGAAAAACATCAGAAAATTCCTTGACAATTCGGATGCTTTCAATATCGGATTGCGATCTCCTAGTGTCCAAAATATAAGCAAGAAACGCCTCGGAACCCTTCCTGATCATCTTCTCCGCTACCAAGGCAGACACAACATTCGTCAGAAATCCCGTCGTTCCCCAATCATTACAATCTTTCGATTATCTGGGGTCTTCAGAACAGCTCTCTTAGTCTCAAAATCAATATTTACTCGATGTTTGTCCAACCAATCTACGCCAAGAATCAAATCGAACTCTTCAAAGGGTAACTCCATCAGGTCAGCCAGAAAAATCTCCCCATTGATCTCTATAGGGCACTCTCTAAAAATACGATCCAACACAATAGATTGACCTAAGGGACTTTGAACTATCACTGAACGCTCAGTATTCTCAACAGGAATATTTAGACCCTCAGAAACGGAATGTGATACATAGGAATTTGTAGAGCCACTATCAAACAATGCAAAGTATGGAACTGAATGAATAGTAACAGTACTGCAGTCACATTAGGCCCATCTCGATCTTGTCGAAGTCTAGCAGTGTAAACCAATGCAGGTTGTCTAGCCTCAGATCTGACTGGACCCCTACTCTGAGATGCTCGGCCTCTATTAGCCGATCCAGGTGCTCTCTCCTGAGTACGACCACCTACAGGAGTCTGAACAGTACTCTGAGTACGAGCGGGAGTACGAGCTGGTGTTTGAACTGTAGAAACTGACACTGTGCAATCCCTTATAATATGGTCACTAGAACCACATCTAAAACATGTGCCAAATTTTCTTCTGCATTCCCCCAAGATGATGTTTCCCACAGTAATCACATGTCTGCAAAGGTTGCAACCCAGAAGATTCACCATGTCTAGTAGACTGAAAAGTTGAAGCACCAGATGCAACAGGTCTGACACTCGCACCGCCTCTCTGAAAGGAATCACCCCTGCCTCTCTTGCTAGGATGTGCAGAAGAATTAACAGAACCAGAAGGCCTCCTGAATCGGGTTTGAGCTCGATCACTATCTCTCCGATGCTCCATACCCAGTCGCTCTATTTCCTCAGCAGTCTTGGCTATCTCAACCAAAGCATCAAAATTCCTCTCTCGGTGAGTAGCGACTCGACTCCTGATTTCATACCTGAGTCCATTCTCGAACCTCAAGCATCGATCTGTCTCAGTATCCACAAGTCCAGGAGCATATCGGCTCAATCGGATGAATTCAACCTCATAATCCATAACAGACATATTACCCTGCTCCAGATTCTGAAACTCCTGGCGTCGCTCCTGCAGATATCTCTCTCCGATGTAGCGACTTCGGAAGCGCGTCTTGAAAAGATCCCATGTTAATTGGTTCCTCGGAATACTACCAGAAATGGATTGCCACCATCTGAAGCTTTCTTTCTTCAACATAGTTAGGGCCCCCTTTAACTTTTGCTCAGGTCTGAGGTCCATCTCATCCATAATCCTTTCTGTGTCCTCCAGCCAATACTCAGCGTCTGTCGGAGGTCCACCAGTAATACCCTCGAATGGTACTACACCAGCAGCAACCAGAGAATTTGAAATCTCCACTGCAGTCATGTTACTAGGGGCTCTAGCAGCTCTCTGAAACATGCGGAAGATAGCTCTATTAATGGCGTCTTCATTCATCTCAGAATCCTCATCTTCAGTGACGGGAGGGTCTCTCACAGGAGTAAACTGATCATCATGAGAAAGAGTCGTATCTACTTGCTGAACAGGAGGATCACGTGGTGACATCGGATCATCTATCGTAACAGAAGGTCGAGTGACTCGCCCTCTACCACGTCCACGTCCTGTCCTACGACCTCTAGCAGTATTCATCGTTGGATCTATAAGGCTCTACAGAAGAATTTGAAACATATGTCAGATTAGCATCAGGGATCTCGATAAAACTTTAAATCATAACATAAGGTGACATTTTTTTTTTATTTCTTAAAAATTCAAAGTTTAGGACCATATATAGTCCGAGTGTTTAAAACCGAAAGCTCTGATACCACCAAATGTAACCCCCTAGACCCGGTCTGTGATTTAGACTCAAACCTAAGTTGTCACATATCCCATTCAGAGGTTTTTTTTTTTTTATCTTACAATACATTATATTAATAATACAGATATGTCCAAAATTATAGCAAATACATGTCACCAAACATAACTGAAAAACATATAGAAATATATGTTCGTACAAAATAAGTAGTTGATTTCCACTGATGCCAAATCTGCTAGCTTACTGTCTGCTACTATCTGAAAAAGGGTAAAAACTACAGAATGAGCTAAAAAGCTCAGTGTGCTCCATACAGTATATAAGAAAAATATACAGATAAAATCTTTCAATGAAATCGGTTTATGCAATATGTTTTTATTTTTATTTTTAAAACATGAACACTACCCCCATCCGTTCACATCATAGTTGTGTAGGTTCCCCAGAACCATACACCCAACCGCACATGCCATTTAGACCCTGAGCACAAAGCCGAGAAGTCTGCAGATAATCTTCCTTCAACAATACCCCCCCAAATGACAATGAATGTATTAAATTGAAAACAATGATTAATCACTTAAAACATAACAAATATTTCATACTTAGAAACCATATGCAGAAATACGGAAATCAGAATTCAAATCAATAATTCAGATATCAGATAAGCAGATCTCAGAAATCGATATGAAATACCTTAATTCAGAAGTTATATCAGAATATACAGCAAATCAAATATCAAATACTCGGTATTCAGATAAATTATTTAAATCAGTAATATAATACTGTTAGGAAACACACCTGTAACAGTCTGGGAAATCAGATAGGGAAGCCTATTACTGGGTATGTCGATCACGTTCTGCTGCAGCGCTAGACCCTACGAATTGGAAAAATCCTTATTGGAATCCTAATATAAATAATCTAAATATTATTTAAATAATATACTGAAACCTACGGGTAATTCTCGTATTACGCGGTTCAGACTGATCTGACGAATGGATAACACCGGACCTAATTGATCCTTGCTCAGGTGAAACACGAGTACCTTCATAAAATATTTTGTCGAATCAATTCCTTAACCAAAACTCTTAAAAATAATCAAAACATTAAGATACTAAGCCTTTTTGAGTTCACATGCTCGATTTGGGAATTTTGGGTCAGAATTTGGCAAAAATAGACTTCGGAATCAAACTCAGGACGTTGAAAAATATAAAGTATGACCTTTCGAAATTTCGAATTCTTGGTCAAAATTAAAGTCAACGAGGTTGACTGACGATTTGGAGACTTTCGGGTTTGAATTTAGCAAAACGGACCCCAAAAACGGATTTGGAACGTCGAAAACTATCAGGATAGGTATTCTTGGTCAAAAACAAAGGTCGTCTAATAGCTGGTCAAAGCCGGTCAAAGTTCTGGTCAAAGGAGGTCAACAAACTGTCAAACATTTTACACAAATAGAACCCTTTTTAAAAAAATTACCAAAATAGCACCCATTTCGAATTAATTCCCAGAATAGCACCAAAACCGAATTAATTCCCAGAATAGCACCGGTCAACGGTCAACGGTCAACGGGTCGGGTCGGGTCAACGGGTCGGGTAAACGGGTAAACGGTCGTGACCGGTCAAACCGGTCAAAACCGGTTCAAAACCGGTTTAAACCGGTCAAAACCGGTTTCCAGCGTTCACTCGCCTGCGGCGGCGCGTGTGGGCGCGTGCGACGTCCTCCGGGGCTCTAAAAATCACGGAAAAATTTCTAAAAATTATTTTGAGCGATTTCGAGATACTTACAAAGATCGGTTCAAATTTTTGAACGGCGGAGAGCTCGATTTCGACTCGGCCGAATCTTTGACTGATCCACCTCCCCACGCGCCGCCGTCAACGGAGATCGAGGATGACACCGGCGGACTCGGAACGGCACAAGGAACACGATGGTGCGGGAGGTGTCGTAAAAGGAGCAACGATCGACGATGAATTTAGGATTTTCTAGGCGATTGAGCTTAAAAAAAAACGTCGATGCTTTGACTTGAAATTCACGACGTTTGGCAGCGTTTCGCTTCAATTAAATTGAGGGGATTGTTCCTGACTCGATAACGAACACGATGGTACTTTCAAAACGACGATCGGAATTCGGACGGTGTCAGAATCGTCGTCGGAAGTTGAGGTGCGTGGGGTAAAAAACTTAGCAAATTGTTCTGGTATGAAACCAGAATCAATTTGCACGCATATAAGAAGAAGAACAATCTGCCGACACTCCTTGGCATTATTCAGTGATTGGTCACTGAATTTCCTCCACTTTTTAAAACATGCTACAAGTTTTAAAAACTTCCAATTAAATCCTCAAATTTCACCAATTAACTTAATTAAAACCTCAATTCCCAATTAAAAATATTATTTTAAAATTTTCGGGTTGTTACAGTTCTAGAATTGTGCAAACATCTTACCTTGTGAGGTTTTCTTGTAAGTTTGCAAATTTGTAATCTTCTCTTTGGGAAAAAGAGTGTTCTCAAGAGTTGGGGTATACTCTTGAGGGATTTTGTAAGGTTATCTCTTTGGCCTCTAAAGAAAGAACAAATTAGTGAATTTTTTGGAAAATCCTTAGTGTGGATAGCTAAGGTAGTGGACGTAGACTTTGTTTGAGAAAGTCGAACCACTGTAAATCGCTGTGCAATTTCTTTAAATTTTCTGTAAAAGCTTCCACGAAATTTTTAATTGCCAATTCACCCCCCTCTTGGCCGATTCCGTAGATCGATTAACTCAACAATTGGTATCAGAGCCTCACTCATTTGAAGGTTTAATCGCCTCTTGAGTCGATTCGGGAAGAGTTACATCGATTACCAAGTCATCAATGGCCTCCACTTCAAATTACGACTCCGGTCTTGATTCGATGCCCGTCAACAAGCCTCCTTTCTTCAATGGAGCTAATTACGCCTATTGGAAGAATAGAATGATGTACTTCATTCAAGCAAGTGACATGGGAGCATGGAATGCCGTAGAAGAAGGATACATCAAGCCTATCACTCATCCAAGGTTGTGGAGTGAAGGAGAGACAAGAATGTTCCAGCTCAACTCCAAAGCCATCCATATTATTTTTTTGTGCTCTTAGACCAGATGAATACGGAAGAGTTTCATCGTGTACAACCGCCAAAGAAATATGGGACAAGCTTCAAGTCACACATGAAGGTACATATGAGGTAAAGAAATCAAAAATTAGTATTCTAACGCATAGCTATGAAAATTTCAGGATGAAACCAAATGAAGACATCAAAGCTATGACGGATAGATTTTCAACGATTGTCAATGGTCTCAAATCATATGGAGAGATCATCTCAAATGAAAAGCTTGTGAGGAAGTTAGTCTACTCCCTCCCAAAATCATGGCAATCAAAGAAGACGGCAATCATCGAGTCTAAGGACCTATCGTCCTTAACTCTTGAAGAACTTATCGGTTCACTCCTCACTCATGAGATGATGCTCGAAGATAAGGTGGACCTTGATAAAGTTGAAGAGACACCAAAGGAAAAGGAGAAGAAGAAAAATATTGGAGTTGCTCTCAAATCCACAAAAGATGAGAGTGATTCTAATAATGATGATGATGACGAGGAAATGGCATTGTTTGCCAAACGGTTTAGAAAAATGATGAGACCTTACCAAGGAAGAAAATTCAAACGAAACGAAGGCCTAAAAAATGAACCAAAAGAGAACGACCCAATCATTTGCTATGAATGCAAAAAGCCGGGGCATGTCAAATATGATTACCCACAATTGAAGAAAAAGGGTCAATCAAAGAATAAGCACAAGGCTCATGTGGCTACATGGAGCGATGAAGAAGGTTCCGATGAAGAGGAACAAGAAGTAGCAAACTTGTGCTTGATGGCATTCGGGGAAGATTCTAAGGTAACCTCTAACTCATCCGATTTTGATGATTTATCTTATGATGAGTTATTTGAGGAGTACAATGGGTTGGCTTCGGATTATGAGAAATTGTTTTTAAAATATAAAAATGATGTTTCAAAATTGAAAAATGAAAACAAACTCATATCCAAAACCAACAACGATCTTGAAAGTAAAATCAAAGATTTGCAAATCAAACTAGAAGAGTTTGAAAAGAAAAATTTAGATTTGCAAAATTTACTTTCAAAGATCAATGATGATCATCAAAAGAAAATTGATGATCTTAAAACTTCTTTTGATAAAGTTGGAACAAAACATTTTGAAAAAGGTGGAAATTCAACATCCAACTTTGTTAGAAAAAGTTTTAGAAACTACAATCATAGAGGTCCCCAAAGAACCTCTAATGGAAAAATCATTAGAAGTATGTGGGTTCCTAAAGAACTCATTACTACTAAAGATAAGAATATCCTACACAAATGGATACCTAAGGGGACTAGGATTTTGGAAACTAATGAATATGGACCCAAAAGAATTTGGGTACCAAAAATCAAAAATTAATCTATGTTTGTAGGGAAAGGAGCATTGCTACAAGGCACGGGAAACAAATTCAAACTCATGGTACCTTGATAGTGGATGCTCAAGACATATGACCTGAGACAAAAGCCGGTTCATTGAGTTTAACGCCAAAAATAGAGGAGAAGTGACTTTTGGAGACAATTCAAAAGGTCACATTGAAGGTATTGGTACAATAGGTAATACCTCTTCCATACAAATTAAGAATGTTTTATATGTGAATGGATTAAAGCATAATCTATTGAGTATTAGTCAATTATGCGATAAAGGATTCAATGTCTTATTTGAAATTAATGGTTGTAAAGTCATTGACATTGCATCTAATCGGATTATGCTTGTTGGTCATAGAATAGGAAACATTTACATGGTGCATTTAGATTCTATTGATATGACTAATTTATGCCTAGTTGCTAAGGATGAGCATGATAGTTGGTTATGGCATAGGAGACTAGGTCATGCTAGTATGAGTGTTTTGCAACGGTTAATTCAAGGAGACTTAGTAAGAGGGTTGCCTAAGCTTAAATTTGATAATGATAAAATCTGTGATGCTTGTGCTAAAGGAAAACAAAAACGAGTTTCTTTTAAATCTATTAATGATGTATCAACTAGTAGAGTATTACAATTGATCCATTTAGATCTTTTTGGGCCAACTAGAACTACTAGCTTGGGAGGAAAACAATATGCATTTGTCTTGGTAGATGACTATTCTAGATACACTTGGGTTCTATTCTTAAGTACTAAAGATGAAGCATTAGAAAATTTCATCATATTTTCAAAAATAATCCAAAATGAAAAAGGTTACTCTATCACTAGTGTTAGAAGTGATCATGGAACTGAATTTGAAAATCTTGGATTTATTGAGTTTTGTAATTCTAATGGTATTAGCCATAATTTTTCAGCACCTAGAACCCCTCAACAAAATGGAGTTGTTGAGAGGAAAAATCGAACTTTAGAAGAAATGGCTAGAACCATGCTTTGTGAAAATAATTTGCCAAAATATTTTTGGGCGGAAGCCACAAATACCGCTTGTTATGTTGTAAATCGAGTAATGATTAGGCCAATTTTAAAGAAAACTCCATATGAAATTCTCAAAAATAAAAAGCCTAACATTAGCTATTTTCATCCTTTTGGATGTAAATGTTTTGTTTTAAATAACGGTAAAGAAAATCTTGGCAAATTTGATGCTAAAAGTGATGAAGGAATTTTTCTGGGTTATTCCTTAAATTCTAAAGCTTATCGTGTATTTAATAAAAGAACTTTAGTTGTAGAAGAGTCTATACATGTTGTTTTCGATGATAATCCCCTTCCAAGGAAGGATTCTTCTGTTAATGATGATGTAGGTATTGCACAAGCAAATGACGTTAGACATGACGTTGGAGAATCATCATCAAAGGAAGAAAAAAAAGATGAGGAAACTCATGATCCCCTCGAGAATCCAACCATTGAAGAAAGGGAAGTATCTTTTCCAAGAGAGTACAACTATGTCAAGGATGGTGAAATTATAGGTGATCCATCAAAAGGGGTAACTACTCGATCTTCTCTTAGAAATATCTGTAATTATGTTGCATTTATTTCATGCATAGAGCCTAAGAACATCAAAGAAGCATTAAAAGATGAACATTGGATTATGGCTATGCAAGAAGAATTAAATCAATTTGAGAGAAGTAAAGTATGGACATTAGTTGAAAGGCCTAGTAATAAATCTACTGTAGGTACTAGATGGGTTTTTAGAAATAAACTTGATGAAAGTGGTAATATAGTGAGGAACAAGGCTAGACTTGTTGCTCAAGGCTATACTCAAGAAGAGGGCATAGACTATGATGAAACATACGCTCATGTAGCTAGGATGGAAGCAATTAGAATGTTATTAGCATTTGCATGTTTTCATGAATTTAAATTATATCAAATGGATGTTAAAAGTGCATTTTTAAATGGTTTTATAAAAGAAGAAGTGTATGTGGAACAACCTCCAGGTTTTGAAGATTCAAAATTTCCAGATCACGTTCTTAAATTGACAAAAGCTCTTTATGGTTTAAAACAAGCTCCTAGAGCTTGGTATGAAAGATTGTCAAATTTTTTAATTGAAAAAGGTTTTTCAAAAGGAAAGGTTGACACTACATTGTTTTTAAAACATAAAGGTAAAGATTTATTAGTAGTTCAAATTTATGTTGATGATATAATATTTGGCTCTACTAATGATGTTCTTTGCCAAGAGTTTTCTAAGCTAATGCAAAGTGAGTTTGAGATGAGCATGATGGGGGAGCTCTCATTTTTCTTGGGACTCCAAATCAAGCAAAGAAAAGATGACATCTTCATTAATCAAGCTAAGTATGTCAAAGATATGCTCAAGAAGTTTG